GCCGTGTGCCCTGGGCGCTCAGGGCTCGCAGGGGCAGCCTCGCCCCCCTCACCCGCCCCGCGTTCCTTTCCAGGTCACCCTGCACACAGGACTGGACGTGCCAACCCACCTGGGGCGGCCCAAGCTGGCCGGCAACTAGCCCCCCCACTCCCGCCCCACAAGGGCATCTGGGAGGAGCCCGCCACCCCTCGCTGAGATCAACAACCACGCGGGGCCGATGGATGACCACGTCGCGGTGCCCCCGAGGCCCCTGAGTATCTTAGGGACGTGTTTGCTTTGGGGGACGGAGGATGGGTCGCAGGCTGGGCCTGCCGAGGCTGCTGTGGGTGGGCAACGCGGGGGTGTGCTCCCCTGGGTCCCCCCGGACGGTTCAGTACTCACAGAGGACCTTGCTCCTGGGAGTGAGAAGGGATCGGGGTGTATGGTTTCCTGACGTCTGTTCCCAAAGCTTGTCTTGTGGGGAGGAGGGTGGAGGCGGAGAGAAAGGCAAACTTGGTGACTGTGGTCCTGAGAGCAGGAGCAGGAGGCCCTGTGGCCCCGTGTCCCCAGGGCCCGCCCGTTGCCAGGTTCCCATCTTGGGCAGGAGAAGGTCTTGAGCTTTTGGGTCCTGGAGCTTCAGTGAGTTCTGCCACTTGCAGACGAACCCAGGATCCGTAGGAAAGGGCGCTACGCAGTCATGCGATCCTCAGCCTCTCGCTGAGCTGTCAAACGCCTTCTAAATGGTTTCCTTAGGTCCCCCATCAACCAGCCTCTCTCTCTCTCTCGCTCTCTCTCTCTCTCTCTCTCTCACACACACACACACACACACACACACACACACACACACAATCGTCTGCTGAAGTGAACCCACTCGGTCCTTAGTTCCTAAACCCTGGAACCGGAACTGGAGTGACCAGGTGATGCGCCTCCACCTGGGGGTGGCTTCTCTGGAACGGGCTCCCCAGTGACCTGCAAGCTGTCCCAGCTGCTCCCCCGAGCTGTGCCCGCTCAGACTCACCCACAGAAGATGAAGACCCGGGGAGCCCCTGAGAGCCGGCCACTGCTGCTCTGAGACCCAGCTGCCTGCCATCATGAAAGCATCATGAGCAAGCAGCGGCCGCAATGGCAACCGGGCGGGCGGGACCCCCCTGAAGAGGCAGCAATACTGTTTCTTGTCCCCCAGCTTCCTGGACAAGCCTGGTGTGCTGAGGCCACAGGGAGCACCCACCTCCTCCCTCCCCTCCCTGCTGAGAGCACCCACCTCCTCCCTCCCCTCCCTGCTGGGAGCACCCACCCCCTCCCTCCCCTCCCTGCTGGGAGCACCCACCTTCTGCCTGGAGACCCATTGGAGTCAGGTCCATCTCTCAGAAAAAGAGCTCACTCCTCCCTCACCCCCTTCGTGTCCCCCGCACCCCCCTGTGCAGCTGGACGTACACCTCCCTCCTTTTTGCAGGAATATATTTTACAAGCTTTTTCTTTCTGAGGCCGGGGAGCGACTAGTCTCTTTGCTGGATTGGATTTTTCTATAACTCAGCCCGGACACCGGCACCAACGGTGTCCACTCGGCTCCGGCCGCTTGTCAGACACCGCCCTTGCTTTCCGAGTGACGCTAGCGCCCTGCAGACCCTGCCTCTGGTCAGCAGATCCGACGACTACGATCCTACCTCGAGCCCCTGCTCCTGCTGCGGCCACAGGGTGGCCAGCTGGGCCAGCTGCCCGGTGGCCTCAGGAGCTGTCTGGTGCTGTGTTCAAGCCTCGCTCACCAAGGTCCTGGCCACCAGGGGACCCTGGGTGGCCACAGGTCCTCATCTGTGCAGCCACCTCTCTGCTTGGCACCCACAGTCCTCAGTTTCTCTCCTTCACCGCTGCTCTGGGTGGACTCGGCTTGGGGGGAGTGGGGGTGGAGATTCGTGAAGATGGGGGACACAGAGGCCCCACGGCTTCCTGGGCCCGCAGAGCCATGGCCGGCAGGGCGAGCTGCACCAGCTTTGGGAAACGTCTTCTGGAAACGACGAAGCCAGTGCCCTGGGAATAGGAGTGCAGCTGGGAAATCAGGCAGGGCTGCCTGGTGGAGGGGGCTTTTTACTACAGTGGAACCCAGATGCGAGGCGGGGAGCTCCCCGCATCATCGAAGCTCTGCGTCTTTGGAGAGAAGATGCCCAAGCTCAGCCCGGACTTGGTGTCACCTGGGAGCGCCAGCACCGAGGTCCCAGGGAGAAGGGACGTTCCCACAGTTTCAGGTGCCTCTTTGGGAAGAAAATGTCCTGAAATTCAGGGAGAAGCCACCAAAACACCCTGCCCCCTCCCACTGCGGCCAGCAGTCCGGGAGGTCCCGTGGGCACCAACACGGGATGGTCCTCCCTTCCCCGACTCCGCCGGGAGCGCAGAGCCATACGGCTGACGCCAGGGACCGAGCCCGGCCGTCCCATGGCCACCTCTCCTGTCTCAGCACAGGACACCTTTCAGGGACAAGAATGGACCTGGGAGGGAAGCCAGGTTCGTGCCACACACAGTGTTTGGGGGTCAGCAGCTCGGAGCAGGGACTCAGCAGCCCGTGGCTGCGCGTCATCCTCCCAGGAGGCCCTGGCCATCAGAGAAGCCACGGGCCGGGGGCATCTCATCGGCCACCGAATCCCCTGACCTTTACACCACGGTGACATTCTCGTACGGAAAATTATATCAAGAGGATGCTCTGTTGGGCTGGCGGAGGAGTAGCCTGGTCCATCTACTCAGCAGTTTCTGTGAGAAGGGAATTCAGAGTCGAGTCCAAGGTCAGGCTCCCCGCCTGATTGATGATGCCTCGGTTTCGGTTTCGTACGTAGTTTCCCCGCAGTTTGTCCTTTGCTGGCGAGCAAGCTCAGGCTTTCCTTGTAGAATGAATCTCTTTAAAAAGTTCCCAATCGCATCTCACTCCTAGCCTCCTAGCCGCTAATTCATAGCAAGCTAAGACCTTCCAGTGGTTCTCAACCTTCTGGCCCTTTAAATACAGTTCCTCATGTTGTGACCCCCAACCATAAAATTATTTTCGTTGCTACTTCATCACTGTCATGTCGCTACTGTTATGAATCGTCATGTAAATATCTGATATGCAGGATGGTCTTAGGCGACCCCTGTGAAAGGGTCGTTCGACTGCCAAAGGGGTCGCGACCCACAGGTTGAGAACCGCTGCTCCACAGTCCTGCCTGTCCCCTTTCTAACCAGGGTAACGCCCCCGATGAAAGCGATCTGACCCGAGAGGGAATGACCTAGTCATGGGAGACGGTTCCAGGCAGCCTCTCCAGCCCCGTGTGCAGCCTGTGGCCCTCACCGCGGGCAGCGGGCACAGGCCTGTCCATCCGGGCTCCTGGTGCCCTGCCCCCCACCACCCAGGGCTCTCTCTCAGGAAGGCGGTGGAATGCAGGACCGGTGTGCACTTTCCCGGGCGTATATTTTTAATTATTTTTTAGCCTTCACCCAAGGATATGTTTCCATTGATTTTTAGGGAGAATGGGAGAGAGAGGGAAAGACAGAAACATCGATGGGAGAGAGACACATCGATTGGTTGCCTCTTGCGTGCACCCGACCAGGGCCTGGGCCAGGGAGGAGCCTGCAACTGAGGTACATGCCCTTGACTGGAATCGAACCTGGGACCCTTCAGTCTGCAGGCCGGCGCTCTATCCACTGAGCCACACCGGCGAGGGCTCTGAGGACCGTATATATTGCACAGCTGCCTGGCCTCTTGGGGCAACGCTGACATTTACAGCAGCCTTCCTCTGAGGCTAGGAAGCAGCCCCCCGAATGTCCCCATCACCACGAGGCCTCTGCGCTCTGCCCGAGACCCTGGGCACAGCCCCACGCCAGCACTCCTGCTATTCGTCCCAAAGGCATCGCGGGCGGAAGTTCCCTTCAGATACAGAGAGAGGTGCACCCCCCTTTCTGACTCCTTGGTTGCCTTAAGATCTGGTATCTGAGGGGTCCCCGCCCATCGTCTGGCTCCTTTGTCTCCAAAGATCTCGGCGGGGGAGCATTTGAAACCGGGGTCTCAGAGAGAGGGGTACAGCGCTGGGACTTCTGTCACTAAGTGGGTCCCCGGCTTTTCCCTTTTTCTTTTGTTTTTCTGTGGAGCCTGAGTTTATTTCTATATAAAAATGCTCTAGAGACTTTAAAAAGGCCCAAAGGTGTCCAGGTTTAATTTAAGATCGTCCCGAGGTGGCGTCCGTCGGCCTCTCCTTTGGCGAGGCTTCCACTGGATCCTTGTTCATGAAGCACCTCGGTCACTCTAGCTGGATCATGGCCACGGCCTGTGACTCCCAGTCTCTGTCCTAAATGGCCATGGGGTTCTGAACGAGGAGACGCGTTACACCGGAAATCAGCACAAGACGCCTGCAGGTTCTACACGAACGTCCTCTCTGCGTCATTCTTCGCAACCAGGCCCAGGGATCGCCAACTGGAGTAGCGGAGACCGCGACGAGCGTCCCCTGCAGAGACTGGTATGAAACGCGGCCCTTTCAGGCTGGAAACCAGCAGGCACCCTTCAAGATGAAAACACTCCCCGGCTTTTTCAATGAGCGACATTGACTCCAGTCAGAAGGAGGAGGTGGGAGTGGAGACCTGGCGGCACTGGTCCTCTCTCCAAGGGCACTGCTCATTGAGGGCGTTGGTCCTGGGGGCTCCTGGGCAGCGAGGTGGGCACAGTCACCAGGCCAGGCCCCCGGGAAGGCTCTGAGAGTCCACCGTGCACGTCAGGTTTGGGACAGTGACGGCTGGGGCCCTGCGAGCAGGAACACAGTGGCTGCTGCCTCGGGGGTTCCGCCTGGGGTCCTCCTACTCCCGGGGACCACCCCTGGCCCAGTCCACCTCAGTACCCAGAGGAGGGCAGGCTGAGCAGAGCAGAAAACGTCTGATGCATGACCCAGGATTGCTGCTTTCGCACTGAACTGTTGTATTAAGCATGAGAGATGTTTGTTGACCGTTGGCAGAGGAATTTAAAGAGTAAGAAGCGCTTCGTGTCCTTGTTTTGGCTGCCGACAGAACGTCCATTTTCCTGCCTCT